AATGTAATCCTTATTTTCAAATATTTATATATAAATTTTTACTTAGATATTTTAAATCTTTAAAAATATAAATCATTGCTATATTTAAGCAATTATGCAGACAAATTTGCCTGCATCCCTCTACAATCTAAGGGATAACCTTGATAGTAAGGACAGTAGGTACTGAGACTGAACTAAAGCCTTATAAAGACTATTATAACTCAAATCCTGTAATATTATATATTAAGTAATGAATAAGATTAAGAGTATTTATTACATGAAAGATAGTTAATAAGAATAATAAAAAGATACTCACCTAAAAGACTATTACTTCATATCTACTGTTAGAGCTAAATTAGATATATTGCAATGATTAATTAAGATTGCTCTCTTTTAACAGTAATATTTGGTGCTAATTATATAAATATACTAACAAGTCTTAAAAAAAAAAAATCAAATCAAATCAAATCAAATTAAGTTAATCAAAGAAATAACAAAGACCTAAATAAAATAGCAATTAACCCTATTCATGTTTTAGCTAATCAAATAGGCCAACTTATTTAACAAATGCAGACTACTTTTGTGCTTCAAATTAATATCGTTAATTTGAATTAGGAGCAAAATCAAGTTAAATATCCCAATTTCATTAGTAGAGAACAAGATCTAATAACTCAGTTAGATGATGTAGAAAAGGTATTTGAAGCAAACTAAGTTACTGAAGTCTGAAAAATTCTAGTTATTGTCCTATATTTGAAAAGCTCTGCAGCAACTTAGTAGATTATCTAAAAGTTCTAACAACTACTTCTCAACTGATAGGATGATCTAGGAAACTAATTTTCAAGTTTCTAACTAGCTTTTATTATACAATTTTGAACACCTGCTTATGAAAATAAATAGTTTGCTTAATTAGTTTAAAAAAAACAATTCTTACAAGAAGGTATCAATTTATATTATGTTAGCTTAGAAGAATTAATTAGATGAGTTAAGGCAGAAAGTTATATTTATCTGAATTCAGTAAAAGCTTAGATGTTTTAAATAGATTAAAGTCTGATTTGTCTATTGCTGTAGCACTTTTTATACTATAGTCTCTTCAAGCTACTTACAAATATGCTCAAGTTATTGAGAGTTCTTACAGAATAAACCTAATATATGTAGCCTTTTTAGGACCTATACCTACAGCTCTCATAATGATAATTTCTACTCCTAATATAGTACCTTCAGTAATTCTCTCTTCTAAAAATGATACTGATAATACTATAGAAAAATTAATAGAGGTAGTTAATAAAATAGTTAATCAAATACAAGATAAACCATGAAATAATTATAATTACTCAACAGGAAATTATACCAACTTATTATCTGTTTTAATTGTAGAAGACCAGGTCATATCAGTTGAAATTATCATAGTTCCCCAAGACAAGATAATTCTAGAACTTAACCTAATAATAATAATAATAATAATAATAATAATAATAATAATAATAATAATAATCATTGACAAGAAGTCATACAAACCCTATTAGCAATGATAACTGAGCAGAAGGAAATACCAAATCAAGAAAATCAATATACTTATCTAACACTTTTAAAGGATAATACTCCTTTCTTCAGTACTAGATCTTAAAGCATTAGGAAAAGACTAATTACTTTGATCTAAATCAACTAAAACAAAGCTCTATATAAGCTATCTGATTTAACCTCTGAAAATAGAATAGAAGAAGATCAAGTATTAGTAGGTGAAGATGAAAATATGAGTGAAGCCTAAGAAGAAATTTAAGAAGGTTCTGCCTCTGCTATTAAAGTAAATGATAATCAACAAGAAACTACAAAACTAATAGCAAAACCAAAGAAATTTGCTCTAAAAAGAAAACTTTAAGAAATAGAATTAATTACCTTAAATATTGTTATTAGTATTACCTTATTCTATTATAGCTGATCTTTATGATAAGCTAGCCAATATTATTTTTGGCAAACTTTTAAGGATAGTTCAGGCAATGAGAACTAAATTATCTTGAAGATTATAAAAGAAAAAAACTCTAGTTAAATGACAAGTTCAGGCCAACATAAATTTACAGCCTACTAATAAATCCATAGACTATACTATGATACTAAAGTAAATAATAAGATTATACCTTTTATAATTGACAGTAGATCTTCCAGAAGTGTTGTCTCTTTATACTTACTTAGGAATCTTGAATTAAAGTAGATCATCTATCTATAGTAAACATGATAAATATACATAGTGAAAGTAAAAGAGCAATTAGGAAAATTTCTAATTTTTCATTTGTTGTAGGTAAAGTGGAAATCTCTGTAGATATAGTTGTAATAAATGCCAATTTCTATTAAGCTATTTTAGGCAATAACTGGCTTTCTAAGGTTAATGCCAAAATAGATTAGCTCTCATCAGAAATGACATTTACTTGAAAAAAGAAAAAAATTACAATCTCAGTAGAATTTCAGAAGTTAGTAAGAAATCTCTTAGAAAAAAGAAGACTAATAAAAATAAAAGATCTAAAAAGAAAAAATAACTTATTTAAGAATAATAGAAACTCTAATAATAAAAATAAAGATGTGTTCAAGAAGGAAGAGCTCATTGATCAAATTTATGGATATGTTAAAATGAATATTACATCCTCAAATAGACTTCTTGAAGAAACTATTAATAAGTATAAACACTTTATCTACTAATATAATTATGAAGTGATTAGTGATTATAGTGATTCAGAAGAAGAAATTAAAGAGATAATGAGAGGAAGAACATTTATAAATAACTTAAATAATATTTCTGATATAATCTAGTTGTGGAACTATGTCCTTAAAACTCCAAAAGAATCTGAAACAGATAAAGATGAAGTTATAGAAGCTGTTCAAGAACTTCTTGATAATAACAATGAGTAGCTTAATGATACTGAAGAACCAACTATAGAATTTAAAGAATCTGAAAGTGAACAAGAATATGAAAAGTAAAGTGAGAAAGAAAGTGATAACCTAATAAATAAGTTTAGTAAGAATGAAATTATAAAATTAGAAACAGATGATAAATTATTTGAGGAGACTAATTCTGGTTATACCACTAATGAATCATATAATAAACCTACAAAAGATAAAAAGATAAACATTAATAATACAGGCTCAATAAAAGTATTATGGAAAGAAGGAAATCAAATAATAGAAAGAATATTAGACTCAGAAAAAGTGCAAAAAAGATCGATTGCTTTGATCGAAACAATATTTATTTTTATAACCTTTGGAAACTTTATAAATATAATTTTACTAGAAATAGATATATGAAGAACCCAAATTTATCAGATAAATACTAAAAAGCCATAATGAGTTTAATAAATTTTAAAATTGAATAATATAGAAAAATAATTGATTTATTCAATTATTTCTATAAAACTAAAATAAAAGCTCTAGAAGACTATTTAGTAAAAGATTTGCTCGAGAATTATGTAAATTTCTTGAAAGGTCTGTTAAATGAAAATTCAAAGTTGTTTGCTTAGAATATTAATAAATTAGAAAGAACAAACCAAGTTGAGTATATAATAATCACAGATCAGATTGCTCTAATAAACCAAATAGAATATAGATACTCACTTTGTAACAATAAATTAATTATTACTCAAGAGATCGAGTATTTAAATAGAAAACTCACAAGTAAAAACAAAATAGCAGTTAAGATTCTTTTTATGAAGAAGGAATCTGAAGATACTTATAAAATACTAAATGCACAAGAGATTAGTAGCATAAAGAATATGCTAAGTAGAAGCAAGAAAAGTATTATAATGAGTATTGAATTTACAGAGATTAAGTTAGAAGATTTAGCATTAAAAACTCAGGACTTAATTTTAGAAAACATAGCAAATACTTCATTAGGAACCTCATAAATAGAAATTAATAGCCCAAAAGAGTACAAGAAGAAGCAATTAGATTATGCAGTTGCAAACTAAAAAGAGGCTCTTGAATTGTCTCTTGAGGATAGCCTATGAGTACTTAATAAAAACTCATGTGAAAATATAGGTAATTTCAGAGCAAGAATCATTTCTATTTTACTTTCTAGTAAAACAAAAGAAGAATGTATCAAGTTTATTAAAGGAACTATACACAAAAATAGCCATATAAGAGAAGTCAAAGAGTGTTTTGATAATAGTAATAGCTGAGTAGTTATTGAATTCAACTATCTTAAAGGTCTAGAGATATTAAGAGAGAAACCAAAAGAAAAATAGATTGAATAGTACAAGGTAATATTTGATGAGTACAAAGTATAGAAAAAGTATGAGAGTATTATTGACAAGTCAGTTAAGACCAAATCAACTAAACTCAAAGAAAAGAGCCTTACTCAAGAAGTATACTAAGTCTCAGCATCTAAAGAAAAGAATAGCAGTTATGCAAAGAAGGCTCTTGAGGAAAAAAGGAAAATATTTTTGAAAGAGAATATAATTACAATATAAGACCTTCTAACTAGAACAAAAAGAATACATATCTTTGAATCAGTACACTTTCTCAGAAGAGTTAACCTCATATAAATTATCAAAGAAGCATATAGTAAAACATATACAGAAGTAAAGTTTATACTAAATACTATTATATAAAAGACTTAGAAGACATATGGTGCATTCCGTTCTTGAGTAACTGTTTAGTCAAAATTACTACTAGAAAAAATAACTTAGAAAAACTTAAGATATGAAGCAAGTACTCTAGGAAAATACTTGACCTTCTAAAGGATACAAATAAAGTACTTTTGTGAAGATAAGTAAGACGTACAGGAGCTAAAGCTCTACATATCTTCAAGAATACTAACTACAATAATAAGAGGAGTGCAACAGTCTATTTTGCAAGAGAAGCAGACTATATAAATTGCACAAAGTTTGTAATATTCTACTATGATAATAAACTCAAATAGGCTATACTAAGAGTTAATGATAGTATAGATACAGAGTCCTTTGTAAAAAATATAGAAATATCTAGAGTACTACAGAAGAAAAGTACAAAAAGCCTTGAGAAAATAAAAGTAACTGAGCAAGATCCTGAGGAAGGTTGTTCAAAGCATGTTCTCAGAAAAGTATAGAATAAAGAAAAAGGATTTATAATACATGAAGAGCATAATATATTAGATAGTTATGTATATGAAAAGGAGAGTAATTCAGATAAGTACTCTTATATAAATTCAGACTATGAGGGCTCTATCTCTTTTGAAAGCAGTAGCAAGAATAGAATAGGTAGCTCTAGAAATAGAAGCTGAGGAAGCTACCACTATAATAGCCAAGCAAGTCTGCAAAATAAGGAAAGTAACAGCTTAAGTATAAGCAAAGTCTTAAGAAGTTTATTAGTACTTGCAAAAAAAGAAGAACATATTTTGAAAAATAGAGATAGATATAGGAGTTATAAGACTTCTAATTGCTTCTAAACTATCATACTAGTTGAATTACAGAAAGCTCAAATTTCTCAAAAAGGAAAACTTAGAAATCAGCAAAGGGCAAAAGAAACAAGAAACCAAGTGTGAACAAATAGAGTAGGTACAGATATAGAGATAGAAAAGGAGATGTTAGAAGTAGAAATAAGCACTAATTTTAGAATACTCAGTATAGCAACAAACAATATTAATAGAATAAAAGGCAAGACTATAAAACTAGAGTTGCTAGCAGAATGAGCATATAAGGAAAAAATTAATATTATAGGAATTAATAAATCAAATATTAGTAAATAGCAAGGTAAATTCGTTTTAAAGAAAAAATCTAAATATGTTAGCTTTTAGACATCAGCAGAAATAAATAAAGTAAAAGGCTTAGGAGTAGAACTTATAATTAGTAAAGTATGGAAAAAATATATAAGCAGAGTCTCTCATTGTAGTAATTATTATATAGATATTATGCTAGTATTTAGAAAAGTTAAAATCCTAATAATAGTTATATATATACCACCTAATAACAAAGATACAAAAAAGTTGCTCCAATAATATATTATTAAAAAGATCTGAGAATGTGAAAGGAGAAATATTAAAGTTATCATAATAGGTGACTTCAATAATATTTAATCTAATATCTTAGATCAGAATATCAAAGGTTCGAAGAGAAAGCAAACCCTTCCTCTTCTAGCTTAGTTAGAAAACTCATTATTTGAAGATATCTACAGAAAGATATATTTATATAAAGAGAATATACATGGTCAAACTGGAAATTAAGTACCAGAATTGACTATATTTGAGTATTCAAAAGTTTAAGCCAAGGTCTTATGAAATATAAAATTGTAGAAGCTAAGTGTATTACAGGTAGTAATTATAAAATTGTCTATACTCAGCTAATAACAAGCTTTGGTCTAAATTGCAGATCAGTAGCAATAAGCAAAAGATTAAAAGGAAAGAGATGTATACTAAAACTTGAGAAAGCTACTGAGGAAGAGTGAGATTTATACAAAGCAAATTTAGAAGAATTGCTAAAGAAAAAGTATACTGATAGTATTCAAGATCTTCAGATAGAAGAATTTTTTAATCAAAGTAGCTTGGATAAGCTTTAAGATATTATATTAGATAGTATCCTAAAAAGTGCATATAAGTTTCTACTTAGTAAGAAAATATGTATAGGCTTACTCCTAGTTGAGGATCATAGCATTAGTAGCAAGATTCTTAAAGATCTGAGAGCAGTGAGCAAGCTGTGCTATACATGTCTAAAAGAACAGAGAAAGCCTATAGATTTAGAAACTAAAGATCATTAGTTAGTTATAATATATGAGATTAATGAGAGACTAGATATAGCAATAGAAGAGCTAACCAAAGACTTATAAACAAGTAAAAAAGATAAAGATCTTAAAGTATAGTAGAAAATTATATATACAAAAGCATAGTATAAAAGAAAAAAGGAAGATTATAATAGTATTAGTAAAGCAATAGATAACAAATATATTATGATACAAGTTGAACTTAAGCTTATGTTGAGTAGTCTTTTAGAAAGATCTTCAAATAAAATCAAACTTGACAGAGTTATAACAGAAAATAGATCAGATATCTCTTTGCTAACAGAAGAAAAAGAGGTTCAAGATAAAGTCAGAGCACATTTTATTAAGCAGTTCTATAAATAAAAAGTAAATTTAAGCAATACAACTAACAGATAGAATAAAGAATACAAACCTCTAAAAGAAATCAATAAAGACATATATGAGTCTCTGAATGAGTCAATTTCATTACAAGAGTGGCAAAAAGTACTCAAAGATGTTAAGTTTAAGTTAGCATCAAGCTCCTTCAGAATTAGCTACCTACTAATAAAAAAAGCAAGTAGTATAAGTCATAGAATCCTTTTAGTATTAGTGAACAAGTGCATTAAGGAAAAGAATATACCAATGAAATAGAAGATTGGTCAACTATACTCTATTCCTAAAGGAGAAAATTGTAGCTACAACCTCTTAAATATTAGACTAATTGTACTACTTGAAGCATTCTGTAAATTAGTAATATGAGAAGTAAATAAGAGACTTAACAAAGTACTAACTAAGTTTAGTATACTAAAAGAGCCAAATTTTGCAGGCTTAACAGGCTGCAGCACAAGTAGCTTAATTCATATTATAAACAATCTCATCAAAAAAACTAGAAAAAAGAATAAAAAAATATAGATACTCTTTCAAGATATGAAGAAAGCATTTGACTCTGTTAGTTTCATTATGCTCGAAAAAGTATTAAAAAAAATTAAAATCTCAGCTAGTACAACTAAATTCTTTTTTTTTTTTTTTTTTTTTTTTTTTTTTTTTATTAATTGATAATATCAGTTAGGAAAAGAATTAGTACATTTATA